TTATGTTGATTTTTCTAATCCTCTTTATCAAGTTTTAATATTGGCTTAAATTCACCACTAAGTCCTTTAGACCTAAGCAGTGTGGATTTTTGAAAGGACTCAAAACTTTAAGTGATCATTATCAAAATCATTTTAATTATCAAACAAGGGTGTGAAATCATTGATTTCCAAAATTATACCCCCAAATTCAAAAGTCATGAAGTTTCCAAAATTTGGATAATTATGGTAATTATATATATAATTTTTTGGTTCTATAATTTGACAAGGTGAAGTGGGTTTCTACCAATTAAGCCCATTTTTTATTGCAAATCATCAAATGAGTTAATTAATATCAGAAATTACCCATTTTCCATTTTTATTAAGCCTAAATATTCATTAAGGCCAAAATATTCAAAATTACAATTTTGCCCTTAAGGGTCCAAACTTTCATAATTTATCAAATTTAAGTCAAATGACTTTGAAATTTTTATATAACCCTATTGATAGGTCAATTAACACATCAGAGAAGAAAATATGAATTTTCACAATTTAATTTAATTCATATAATTATTTTTATGCAAAAATATGCATTTTCAAAGAAAATTTCAAAAGATGATCAAGATAACTCCTAATCACTTGAAATTTTTATATGAGCTAGCCCTAGACCAGAAAGTCATTTGGCCAAAATTTCATAATTTGTTGTATTTTCTGTAATTTATTAAAATTAATTAAAGTTTTGAGGACTTTAATAAAACTAAATCATTTTATATGTTGAAAAATATACTTTATATTTTTTGGAAAATCTCTTTGAGGTCAGAGAACCCAAGGAAATTTATTTTGTATCTTTGTGATTTTTATTTGATTTTTTAGAATTATTTAGGTGAAAATCCTATTTTTAAACCCTAAAAATCATTTTAAGGTTTAAAAATAAATATCTTTATTTTTAGACCTTGGAAAAATATTCCAATGATTATTATTTCTAAGTGCTTAGAAATCAACTTAGAATATTTCCATGAATTTTATAATTTTTTATCATTTTTATGGATTTTTTAATTATTTAAAATATTAAAAATAACTTAAAAATGAAGTTTTTATTTTAAAGAAAATATACTTAACAAAAAATAAACATAAACCATCAAAAATCTTACATTTTATTATACATTTTGATGCTATTTTTAAAGACAAAATGCTGTTGCATCATAGACCATTAAATCTATAGTTATTTCAAATATTCAAAATTAGCCTTCAATCTTATCTCACAAAAAAAAAAAAATACAAAATGATAAATAACGTCGAAACTCATTCATTTTCCCAAAAATATTTAGCTGAGATCACCAATCCATACAGATGCATTCTGCTACAAAAAATCAACATATAGCTGGCACAACAACAAACCCTATTCAGCCACTAATCCAACTAAAACCAAAACCTCCTCTACGTCTCTAACTGGCTGACACTTCAGAGCCTAACACACAAAGAATAAACACGTGAGCGTTAAACAGGAGGCACTTACATACATATATATACCACTCAATTCCTATTTATTTACATATCTAACCCCTAAACTTCTTACATTCATACCACCCCAAATCTTTCATATCGCATCAAAAATACCACCATTATATAACTTTTAACAAGTGAAATGCACCTTTTCATGCAAAAGTAAGATGGCATGCATGTAAGAATTGATCTTTTAAGTGTTAAATACATTTTAATACATAGGAATTGAATTGTGGTATATTTGTAATTCTTCCAAAAAACAAAAAATACACCTTAGTGATAAAATCAAGAAAGGAAAAACTTCTTTATCTTTGCCCCTAGAGATGGTTGCTGGTCCACTTCTTCAACAATATCCTCACTGCTTTGATGCTTGCATCCTACTACATCTTCTTTCTTCTCATCAGCCTATATATATGTCATGCATATAGCTCAGTCACGCAACAAAAATCAACTTACAAGCATTATTATGGCGTATATCAACAGAAATCCTGTGATATTTACATGCATAACATAATTCTCATGCATTTACTTATCTAACATCTAAACATATTCATATTTACATCCATACCACACAAATCTCTAACATCACATCAAAAATACCACCACCACCACCACCACCACCTTCCTAAAAGTGAGATACACCTTTTCATGCATAGGTTTATCATACCAATGTGTAAATATCAAAATTTGGGAGTTTGATATGTAAATACGTAAGAATTGTGTGGTATGTATGTAAATTTCCCATTATTATAAAGTCATTATTTAAAACCCAAGCTTTGAATCAGCCTTCAAACTGTTGAAATACAAACCATGAAAATTTTACAGGAAACATTGCTCAAAAGCAGAATTCTTTAATCATATGGAGGCACAAACTGCAATAATATGTTGGAGCATTTACATATATATACCACCCAATTCCAATTTATTTACAAATCTAACACCTAAACCTAGCTTTTTTTACATTTGTCTCCCAAATCTTTCATATGACAAAAAAATACCATCATTTTACCTTTTAACAAGTGAAATACAACTTTTCATGCATATAGTATGTAAAAATTGAAGTTTATGTGTTAAATATGTAAATATTTAGAAACCTACTGATATGCATGTAAATCTTCCAAAAATATTTGTTATCTTACCAGTGGAAGCACAGCAGATGATCCAGCAGCCTTCAAAAGAGCCTCTTTTGCTGCCGGATCCTCAAGCTTTTGATTATTATCATCTGGGCTAAAATACAAATTTTAAATTGCCAACAAATCAGGACCACTCCATTATCCTTGAAAAAACAATTTCAGTGAAAATAAATAAGCATGCGTTGAAATTCATAGGTTCCAGACCTCAACTGCACCTAAACTCGTCGCTGCAAATAAAAGAATATACCATACTGCAAAAGAAAACCTAGTTTTCAGATATGAACCACATGGCTCGAGCATTACGCCACCATGTGGCAGTTTCACAAAAAACACTGTTACGAATATTACATGCAGACCACACAATTTTGTTGTATTTACAGATCTAACACCGAACTTTCATACTTATATTAATAATACTATGTTACGATAAAACTTATGCATGAAAAAGTGTGTTTAATTTTTTGAAAGTAGGTGATAGTGGTATATTTGATGTGAAAGGTTTGAGTGTTACGAATGTAAATATTAAAGTTTAGGTGTTAGATATGTAAATACATAAGAATCGTGTGGTAAGCATGTAAATGCCCCAAACTGTTAATGCAATGACAACTGCTTACTGAAAAACTAAGCTATTAGCTTTGGAATCAAAAATATAGGGAAGGATCCAAACCTAATAAAATCATGAAATAATGCCTCAAAATCAAGCATAAAAAAGAAACAGAAAAGACATCAAATAATTACACATCCAAATGCACATATATCAATTTCATAACGTTCGTGAACCTCCAATTTTGAGGTTCAAAAGTACCATGCAGCATCTGAATCAGAATATCAGTCCCAGGAAGAAACAATATCCTCTTAAGAAAATTATGGTCAAGTCTTCTCAATTTTTAAAAATCCTCAAAGATATACTTCTAGTTAGTTCGGTTCTGTCCATCAAATGAACAGGTTTTATCGGTGCTTCAGTTCTGAATTTCAAAAACTAAATAAATAAAGTTTATGAAAAAAAATTACGCAAAAACCTAATTTGTTCATTCATAACATGAGCCTAAAAAAGGAATTACAACATTCTAAAAATAAAACCCTAGACTTCTTCAATATTTTCTTTGTAACAATAAAACCCTAAATAAGGTCCAATTCTTAACACTGCCCCTCAAACTAGGCAAAGTCAAATTGACCAAATTGGACCATGGTGTAGTTGGACAAAATGGAATTGGGAATATTTTGGATTTATTGGGATTTTTTTAAAATTTTTTGGAATTTTTTGATTTTTGGGCCATGGAGGGGCATTTTGGTAATTTGGCAATTTTTGGAAATTTTTGTCAGTTTTGGCAAATTTGGATGTATTCAAGGTGTTTGGAATAAGTTTTGATCAATTTTGGAGATTTTGGCAAAATTTAGGAATTTTGGCCAAATTTGGGTCCCAAGGGCAGTTAGGCAAATTGGAGGTGCCTAGGGGTAAAAGGCCCAAGTTAGGCATTTCAAGTAGAATTGGATAAATATCCATTCTAAATGAGTAATAAACCAATATATTGGGAAGATATAATGTACCCTAGTTCCAAGTCAACACCTAGGGTCAATCCTAAGGCCAAATAGCCCTATAGGAACTCAAATTAACTCTGTAGGTGCAAGACTATCTAGTGATCAAGTTTAAGAGTTTTAATTTTCTATTCATTTCGAGAATGACTATATGTTGTAATATCAAGTCACTTAAAAGATTCAAATGATAAGAACTTCATGAGAAAATTACTAGTAAAAGATGTTATTACATAAATATAAGTTCAGGATTATATTTAGGTTTTCCCTTTAGGTAGATCCAAGTGAAGCCAATTTTTGATTAGGCATCTCCTCAAAACAATGCACAGTCATTGTGTTGAGATTTTTTTGTAGTTTTCTTTTTCTTTCAAGAACATTTTCAATACTCTTTTTTTTTCATGTCATATGAGAATTACTTGGATAACTTTTAATGATTTTGAACTCCACCATCCTCCTCTTAAAGTTAAAAACTTCTCACATTTCCTTACTAATAAATATGCATTAGCTTTGAAAAAGATTTTTCATAGTCTCAAATCTTTTAAAAATTGAAATACTTTTAAAAAGTGAAATACATCATGTAAAAATTAAAATTTAGATGTTAGATATATAAATACATTAGAATTGTGCGGTATGCTGTATATCTTCCTTGATTAATTTAATGTTAGTATTCTAATTGATGAATATTTATCTTTTATTTTCATTAAAAAATGATTCAAGTTATATTTAACCAAATAATGATGGCTATATCTAAAAGTTACTTAAATGAACTGCAATTAGCCGTCACTCTAGAGACTAAAACGAATTATATTCTATAATAATAATAACAATAGCTTATTTTTAAAATACAAAGAAATGCAAAGTTGTTGAACTAATTTTTTTTTTCAGGAGCATTAAACGAGAAATACATAGAGAAAGAATATTTAATTATTTTATGTATTATTTTTGCTACTCATTTAATCTAATATTTTAATGCATCAAATTTATTTAATTTATAAATTTAACATAAATTGTTATTATTATATTTATTTTTAGTTTCTGCAATCTACAAGTGAGCTCATACAGCCACCGGACGGGTAGGAGTAGGGCTCATGCTCGCTGGTGCTTTCCCTAATGTCCCGTTTCTTTCAATCAGCACGAAACGAAAAACTCTCCCGATACACAGTTGCTTTCCCTTCCCCCACCATCGCCGGATTACCGAATCTCTACCGGCGCTCAGTTTCAACTTCCGGTACCGACTAGTTCATAATCCGCCTTCGAGGTTTGCTCGCATGGCGTCGCTGTTGAGCTCCACCGCATTGCCAAGTAACTTGACGGAGCTGAGGGACGAGGCCGATTTTGAGTCTATCTTAACGCCCGAAGGCCACCTTTCCGTCTGCGGTTTTGGTTCGCTTCTTTCCGGTGATCAAAAGCAATGTTCTGTTTTTTCTTTTTTTTTTTTTTTGGTCCCTGTGAAACCCTAATTGCAACTAGTCGACAGAGAGGAGCGCAAGGAGTACTTTCCCCAATTTTAAGAACTTCCGCGTGGCGTTTCTTCCCGGATTTAGGCGCGTTTTCGCTCATATAGCTCCCATCTTTTACGAGCGCGGTATCGCAAAAGAAGAAACTAAGGTTACAATTCAATTTATCCGCAAAGATTGTTCTGTTATCCATTCTGAGGAACGACATGGGAAGTTTTCAGGAAGTTTCAAGCTTGAGCGTTGAGCCCTGGGAAGGAGAAGGTCTTATTGTTACCGTGTTTGAGATTGAGAGATCGGAGGTAGTGCACTGAAAATTGTTCACTTTATTGACTTGATGGAACGAAATGAAACTCAGCTAATAGACTATTTGCTCTTTATGATCCTTTTGGTTATTGAAGATCCCTTCTTTTATAGAGAGGGAGAATGAGTTCCGCTTTTTAGCTGTAAGTTGCTTTGCGTATGAGCTTTCTAGCGTTGATTTTGAGATTGATTTTTTTTTTTTTTGTTAATTCAAGAATTGTGCATTTTGAATTCGTTTGTTCAGATTGTTCCAGAGGACTTGGCTGGTGCCCCTTTTACTAACTCTGCTGTAAGTTCTTATGAGACCATGAATGAATTGTAAATTTTCTATATTCTTTGTGGCATTTACATACATAGCACACAATTATTATCATATATAACACCTAAAATTTCATATTTACATACACTCAAATTTAGATAAAAAATACCAGGATTACTAATTTTGTAAAAGTGAAATACAGTTTTTCATGCATAGAGTTATAACACCAAAGTGTTATAAATGTAAATATCAAAATTTAAGTGTAAGATATGTAAATACATAAGAATTGTATGGAATGTATGTTAATCCCCCTTAATTTAGGGTGTTTTTTTTGTCTAATTGATGCTGTTTCTGTCATTGTGGTTTAGGTGGTTTGTGCATGTTATAGTGATGAGGAGTACTTTCAGATCAGATGCAAAGGTATTGATTGGTATCAATTTCCTCTTATAAGAATGGAAATCTCGAACTAATGCTTTCTATCAAGCTCAACACTTATTCATATGATACTTGTTTTTATTCGTTTATTAAAGTACAACACAACAACAACAACAAAAACAACAATAACGACAACAACAAGCCTTTATTCCACTAAGTGGGGTCGGCTACATGAATCATTTTTCTCCATTGTGTCCTATTGAATGTAATATTTTCATTTAATTTTAATAAATTAAGAATTTTTTTATACAATATGCCCAAGTCTTTCTAGGTCTACCTCTACATTTCTTAACATAAATCGAATCTAAAACATCTACTCTCCTAATCGGATCATCAGATGGTCGATGTTTAATATGACCAAACCATTTAAGATGACTCTTTCTAATTTTGTCTGCCACACGCAGATATATTCATTTCACATTTCTTATCTAAGTGTAAAACCACTCATCCACCTAAGCATTCTCATCTCGACAACACTTAACTTATTTTTATGCTTCTCTTTTAAAGGCCAACATTCTGCGTCATAGAGCATTGCAGGTCTCACCATCATCTTATAATATTTTTCTTTCAGTCTAAGCAATACTTTTCTATCACACAATAAGCCCGAAGCATTCCTCCACTTCAACCGACCAACTTGAATTCTACTAATAACATCCCCATCTGTTGCACCATCACTTTGAACAATAGACCCGAGATATCTAAAGCGTTCACACCTTTTAATAATATGATCATCCATAACTATAACTCTGTCACTAGAGCTACTACTACTAAAATTACATTCAATATATTCAGTTTTATGTCTACTCAAACAAAGGCCTTTAGACTCCAATGTAGACCTCCATCATTCAAGTTTTTCTTGAGCTTTTTCTCTAGTCTTAACCACGAGAAGAATATCATCAGCGAAAAACATACATCGAGGTACATCCTCCTATAATTGTCTAGTAAGAGCGTCTATAACTAAAACAAAAAGATATGGGCTTAAAGCTGATCCCCGATGTAGTTCAACTGAAATAGCAAAATATTTGCTCAATCCTTCTTCTATTCGAACACAAGTAATAGCTCTAGCATGCCTATCTTTAATGACTTGAATATAAGTCATATCAACACCTTTCTTCTCTAGAATTCTCCAAAGGATATCTCTTGGAACCTCTTGGAACGATATCTCTTGGAACCTTATCATAAGATTTTTCTAAATCAGTAAAAATCATATGTAGATCCTCCTTATTCTCTTCGCACTTCTCCATCAAGCATCTCAATAAATGTATAGCTTCCATAATAAACTACTTCGACATAAATCCAAAGTGATTTTGAGAAATTTTTGTATCTTTGTGATACTTCTTAACCTATGTTCAATTACCCTTACCCGTAATTTTAAAATATGACAAATCAGCTTAGTTCCTCTATAATTTGCACACTCTTGTGCATCTTCTTTATTCTTAAAAATGGGGACCAAAATACTCTTAATACTCTCAAAATACTCTTCCTCCATTCCTCAGGCATCTGTTTAGTTTTTAAAATAATATTAAAGAGTTCATTAAGCCACGAAACTTCTAAATCTCTTAAATATTTTCACACTTCAATTGGGGCATCATTGGGTCCTATAGACTTTCCACCATTGATTTTCTTTAAAGCCTCCTCAAATTTTTTTTTACTAATGTAACTGTAAAAATGAAATATTTTATTATTATTAACGATATTAAGATCACTTAGGTTGATTGTATTTTTAGAAATTTCATTGAAAAATTTATCAAAATAACTCTTCCATCTGTGTTAAATATCTTTTTCTAATAAAAGCACTTTTTTATTTTTATCTTTAATACACTTTATTTGAGTTAAATTTTTAACCAACTCACCTATGTTGATTTTCTTTTTTATTGGTTTATTGAAGTAATTGAACAAATTCGAAAAATATTGCAAAAACTCAACATATAAATGAACCAACTTAAACATTGACTTATTTGATTATGTTCACGAACATACTTACCTGTTGTTCAATAAGAAGCTTGCTAAAAGCTGATTAAATTATTATCTAAAGCTGATATAGTTATTTATTTGATAATTTAAATTATTACCAACTTAAACATTGACTTATTTAAATTCCTACTTGGACTTCTTATGCTCATATCAGTTAAGTGGTTTCAGATTTTTGAATTAACTCCTCTTTTTATTTTCTGCTTCTCTTTATTTTTCTTTTGTAATTAGTATCTTCAGCTAGTCTGTTTCTTTGCTTCTTGTGAATCATCGCCAAACTTTATTGTGGCTGTGCTATGTAACTTTGCCAACGAATTATTTATTTGTAGGTAATAAAGATATTTACTTTCAGAATTATGGAAGGTATAACATCCATAAGATATGGAGGGATGATGTCTTACCTTGTCGTGTTTATCTTAGACATTGGTAAGAGATTAACTATCTATTTTTCATGGTTTTACTTCCTTTTCTTAGTGTACGAACTGCATTAAGGCTGTACGTTTTGGAATTCAATGATTTAAATTGCTTTGGCTGTGTGTAGCTGCTTATTCTATAATTTTCTGCATTAATTGCATCAATATCCATAACCTTATTTTTGGTTTAAATCTCTTTCCTTCAAGCAGCTGCTGGTTAATTTTATAAATTTAATGCTTACTCAACTTGCTATATCAAGTGAATATAGGAAATTTTGGGAAATATGATTGATACTTTTAGATAAAAAAAATGTCATCTTATTTTAAGATATTATTTCTAGGATAGAAGTCATTGTCTCACTTCATGAAATCATACCATATAATACCATGTTTTTAGCGAGAATGCTGTACTGATATCCCTTTTTTTGTATGCCTCTCTCCTTTTTGGTGTATAGAAGTAAATTTTAGCAATACATGTAACCCATTATTAGGATCTCAACACACTGCCAACCTGTAAATGAATGACTCATTTCGGATGTGATCATTTAGTTCACACTGGCTTCTAATTTCTACTTTATTATAGTTTTATTTCAGATTTTTATAAAAAACAGAATAATACAATCACAATGTTTTTAGGGTTATCTTCTTTCCTTTTATGGGCAGTAATTATCCTTTTATTGGGATTTATCTTGTTTTAAATTTCAATTTTTTTGCAATTTTCGATCTTATCCTGTTTTTGTAAATATGGATACATCCTATTTTCTGCAGATAGGAATATCTGGAACATGTAATTATCATGTTGGTGAATTTAAATGCAAAAACCTATTTTCCTTTTATAATTCCTACTCTCTCTCTCTCTCACTCACTCACTCACTCACTCACTCACTTTCTTTCTTACAACAACAAGAGATGCAAAATCATTGATGGTGATACTACTATTAATGTACTATCTAAAGATACATCGACTAAATCAGCTTAGCAAATGATTGGCAAACTTTTATTTTTATTGTTTTTCGAGTCAAATAGACATCTAACCTTAAAATGAAAGATGCTTATGAGTTATGCCTATTCATTTGTGTAATATTTCTAAGATGATTTGTTATGACAGACTAACCATTGTTGTTGCTGAAGTTTTGTTAGGATGCAGTATGGATGCTATACATTATATGCTAGATCCAGACTTATGTCTTGAAACATAAGAAGGTTATTATTAAATTTGATCCCATATAAACCTGTTGAACAAATATTTAATGTCCTTTGCAAGGAGATTGTCAGCCAACCTTTTAATTAAGATATTGGCTTTAGATGTTGTTGCCTGTAGAGATTCTTTTGGCTGGCAATGAGTTTGATCTCATTGTGATATTACTTCCATAAGAGGGGAAATCAACTCCTATTGATTATATTATTCACCTTTACACAATATTCAATTTCTATAGATTTGTCCTCCGTTGTTGCCTTATCATAGCTATCTCATTATTGCTTGTATCCTACTAAGTATAAATCATTGTGTAAATGAAAGTTCATTGGGAGAAAGCCTGTATTTGCAAAATTATTGTCTTCTTTACTTTTTAGAAGGATAGATATAGAAAGATTGATTGTGATGTAAGCTGTAAGTAGCATTTTGATCAAAATCTCTTCTCACTATAGATGTTTTTTTTTCTTGAATGATACATTGGATTTAGTCAATTTAAATATTTTTTGAAGATTGATGTTAGAAATTGCTATTGCCAAAATTAGTCTGGATTAAGGGTTGTGTGATTTGCTTAATAAGTAATGCAGTGTAAAATGAATGTAATTAAAAAACATCTTATATAGAGTTGTTTGATTAACTGTAAAATAAAGAGATTGTATAACTTTTTGTTTGGTTTGAAGTAGACTGAAAATAATATATTTCAAAATATACAAGATATTATTGGTGGGTGGCGGAGGACATTCAGTAGCGGCCACCGACCATTGATGTCGATGATAGGCTGTAACGATCGGCGACGACATCAAGGAGCTGGTGGTGAGTGGTGTCCCACAACTGTGTCTGGCGATTGATGCCGGTGGTAGGGTTGGTGACAGGCGACAGACAATGGCGACCAACGACTGATTGCAACAACCGATGACTGATTGAAGGGACCAACGACGGGCTGCAACGGATGGTGGGCTGCAACACTCAGCAACAGGCTGCGATGACGAATAGCGGGTGGCGAGCAACGACAATGGAGGTAGAAGTGATTGAAGGTGATGGGTGGCTAGTGGTAGGTGGGCTTTCGTCTGTGGCGACCGACAATTGACGCTGATGACCAATTGCAGCGAGTAGCAACAACCTTAGATGAAAATTGGTTTTGGTGGGTGGCAGCGATTGGTGGCGGTAAGCTGGTGACTGGCGACGACAGGCGGAGGCAATCGGAGTTTGCAATTGGTGGCGGTGGGCGAAGAAAATAGAGGTGGTGCTGGGCGACGGAGCGACCAATAACATTTTATATTAATGAACGATATACATTTCAACTTCGGCCAAATCGACCAAATTCTAAATTCAGCCAAAATGATCTAAGATGTAAATTTTAAATACAGTCCTATTTTTCATTGTATTTGTAATTCTTCATATCAAATACTTAATTTTGTAAAACACCTAAAAAGGAATTATAATACACCCCAAATTCTTCCAACCAAACAAAAACCCCTTAAAGATGTGTTGAAAATTTCAACTATGGCTTGTAATTGTGTCTTTCGGTGGATTTTGATACATAAGTTCTCTTAAATTGACTTTCTACTTTAGTAAATCACAAACCTATCCCTTTGTCTTTACATTAACAAATTGTTTATAGCAAATTTTGATTTATTTTCTCATAGTATTATCGAGTACGATTACTTTGAATCATTTATACATAGTTTTGCCTATACTCTATCATTGTTACTATTTTTTTATTAAAATTCATTTTGATTTTTTTTACATGTTAAAGACATTTATTCATTCAATTTAAGGTCACTTCTTTAGTTTATATTTTGTATTGATGATATTTATGTAAATCCGATTAATTTTAAGATTGAGAGTGGCAAAATCATTCCTTGAAAAAAGATCGGAGCCATTACATGGTAACCCAAAAAACCTCAGGTATTTGCTCAATTAACACCATAAGGAAGTGGTATCTAATTGTCAAGGATTTGTTTGGGATCACTTTTGTATTTTGCTTTGTACTTTTATTTTGAAAACATATTTATGTAGTGCATTTTTTTGCATGTTTTATTTCTTAGTCGGGTAAAGAAGTTAGTCCGTGAAATTAATATTAGGAGTGAATCTTGGAATATAGGTACTATTATTGGTAAATTAATGGAATTAGTCGATATTATGATTTATAGAAAAATAAATATCTTATGTATTCGAGAAACTAAATGGGTTGGAGAAAAAACTAAGGAAGAAAAAACTAAGGAGAGAAAAAACTAAGGAGATTGATAAATTAGATTTTAAACTTTGGTATTCAGGTAAAAGTCGCACTAGAAATGGGGTAGGTGTTATTATAAATAAGAGTTTAAAAGATAATGTTGTAAAAATTAATAAAATTGGAGATAAAGTTATATCCCTTAAGATTATTTTTAATACTAAAATTTTTAATATTATCAGTGCTTATGCTTCTCAAGTAGGTTCAGATGTAGGTTCTAAAGATAAATTCTGGAATGACTTAGAAAACTTAATACCAATGATACCTCTTGAAGAAAAAAATTTTATTATAGAAGATTTAAATGATCATGTCAGTAGAGTGAGAAAATATTTTAGAAAAATTCATGGTGGCTACGGTTTTGGAGTGATTAATGAAGAAGGTAGAACTATATTAAATTTTACTTTAGCGTATAATTTTGTTATTGCTAATACTTTATTCAAGAAAAGAGATGAACATATTATTACTTATAAGAATTGATCTAATAAAACACAAATTTATTATTTTCTTATGAAAAGAAGAGATTGTTGAGAATGTAAAGATTGTAAGGTCATTCCAAGTGAGAATTTAAGTACTCAACATCGCTTGTTAGTTCTAGTTTTAAGATGAAGAGCAGTAAAATAAAAAATAGTAGGATTCATCATCGTAGAATTAGATGGGAGTGCCTAAAAGACACAAATATAATTATTTTTATAAGTAAAATTCAAGATTTCGAAATTTTAGATGTTCATGAAGAAGCAAATTTTATGTGGGATAATGTAAAAAAACTATTAAACAAGTGACAAAAGTTGTACTTGGAGAATCAAAAGAAAAAAGTTTTTATAAAAAAATAGTTAGTGGTGGAATAATAATGTGCAAGAAAAGATAAAATATAAGAAGATATGGTATAAAAATTAGTTTAAATGTAAATGCTTAGAGAACTTGAAAAATATTAAACATTCCGTAGAGAGTCTAAGAGAACAATCTGTGATGCTAAAAATTCTACTTTTAGTGATCTTTATAATATATTAGATACTAAGGATGGTGAAAAATATATGTATAAATTAGCCAAACAAAGAGAAAAGAAAAGTAAAGATTTAACTCAAGTAAAATTGTATTAAAGATGAAAAATCAAAAAATGATTTTCTTAAAAAAGATATTCAAAATAGGTTGGTGAGTTATTTTGATAAACTTTTTCATGAATAAATTTTTTAATATGTATAAATTAGCCAAACAAAGAGAAAAGAAAAGTAAAGATTTAACTCAAGTAAAATTGTATTAAAGATGAAAAATCAAAAAATGATTTTCTTAAAAAAGATATTCAAAATAGGTTGGTGAGTTATTTTGATAAACTTTTTAATGAAGTTTCAAAAAATACAATTGACCTTAGTGATCTAAATATCATTAATAATAATAAAATATTTTATTTTTACAATCACATTAGTAAAAAAAAGAAGTTGAGGAGGCTTTAAAGAAAACAAAGGGTGGAAAATCTGTAGGACCTAGTAATATCCCAATTGAAGTGTGGAAATATTTAGGAGGCTTCCTAAACTCTTTAATATTATCTTAAAAACTAAAAAGATGCCTGAGGGGTGGAGGAAGAGTATTTTGG